CCTGATAGCTGTGAGTTTTCAAAGATGATGGCGAATGGCTCTGAAATCTCATCAGCCAACTCCCTCAGCACCCTCGGGTGCATCCCATCCGGCCCCATGGACTTGTACACATCCAGCTTTTCTAAATAGGCCCTAACCCAGGGGTGAGCAAAATGGCTGAGCTGGCCAGCAGCCGGACTCCATTTCCCAGCAGCCCCTGCCTGCATGGCTGAGACCAGTCTCCATGGCAACCCCAGCCTTGAGCTTTCCCAGCAGCTGAGTCTGGGGTTTCCATGGAGACAGGCCCCAGCCACACAGAGGTGGCTGGGAAATGGAGCCCACTGCTGACCGGCTCTGGCCCACAGACTGGACTTTGCCCATCCCTGTCCTTTCACCACTGAGGGCTGCTCACCTCCTCCCCACACTGTGCTGCCCAGTGCAGCAGTCTGGGAGCTGACCTGGCCTGTGAAGACTGAAGTGAAAAAGGCATTGAGCACTTCAGCCTTTTCTGCATCCTCTGTCACTAGGTTGCCTCCCCCAGTCAGTAAGGGACCCGCACTTTCCCTGATCCTCTTCTTTTTACCAACATGCTTGTAGAAACCCTTTTTCCTACCCTTCACATCCCTTGCTAGCTGCAACTCCAATTGCACTTTAGTCTTCCTGACTTCATTAAATGCTTCTACTTTTGGACTGCAGATTTCCCTAGGTGCTGCCCTAGGCAGGGGTGGATCCAAGATTTGGCAAAAGTGGTGTTCAGGAGCAGCCAGTCATGCTGCAGGGGTGACTGCATCCCTGCTCCCAGCCTCCACCCTGCCCAATCCACCAGTGTGGGCAGACCATGCTGTGGGAGTCCCTGGGGACTTTTTAAAGTTCCCAAACTGGATAAGCATCCCTGCTTTCCCCTTCATGCTTCCTCCTTCTGTCCCCTCTTCCTCCAGTTGCTGCTGCTTTCCCTGCTGTCCTGGAAATGAAAGAAGCTTCAGAGTTGCTCCTACCCTCTTGAGCTGGATTGCACAGAGGTTGGGCTTAACTGGGAACAGCAGCAGCAACGGGGAGGGTGTGGTTTCCCCCACACTGCCCAGTGCCCCCAAGGAGGAGGTGTGGGAAGCTGCTGCTGCTGTCACTGTCCTAGGTGAGCCCAGGCCCCACACAGCCCAGCTGGAGCAGGCAGGAGCAACTCTGAAGAGGCTCCTGCCCCCGGGACCATGGGGAAAGCAGCCGCATGAGCTGAGGGACAGAGGGAAGGGGACGTGCCTCTGAGCATGGAGGGGAAGGGGGCTTCTCTAAATTCTCTTCCATTTCTTTTAAAGTCCCCAGAAGCTTCACCAGCACAGGTCAGCCCGAAAGGGGTATGCAGCTGTGCCACCGCACCCACTCTGGAGCCTCCCCTGATCCTGTATATACACAGAAGCACGTGGGACACTTTGCCTCACCGCAGCACCTGCCTTAGCTCTTTTGTGACTCTTAGTTGTTGGGAGGCATCTCTACTCCTTCGAAGTCCCCGGTGTACCTTCTACTGATAGTTGAAAAAACACTATGCCTAACCACCAAATTCAGCTCAAAGATAGTAATGATTGTGTCCATCTTCTGCCTAGTAGTATTCCTCTAGTTCAGGGGTGGGCAAAATGCAGCCCGTGGGGCCCCTAAAAAATTTAGAAAACTAATATTTATCTGCCCTTGGCTGCCTGTCATGCGGCCCTCGATGGCTTGCCAAAACTCACTAAGCGGCCCTCCGCCCAAAATAATTGCCCACCCCTGCTCCAGTTAAATTGAGCCATTGCCTGAGAATTTCTGCCAGGTTTTTTTGTTGCTACAAAGGGGCAAGTTTCTCCTCCACTAATTGTAAATGAGTGTGAAGCTTTAGCTGCCATGGCTATTGACAAGCTCACAAGCTATAAATGTAGAATCTGTTCATAGCATTTTGTTATTTGGTCCCCTGCTGTGCTGAATCAAATGTCCCCGCTATTAAACTGGTAAGCCTTTGTTCTACTCTGATGGAAACAGTTTCATACAATTTTGAATATCTCACTGGGATATTTTATTGTAATTGTTACATTAATCATGTTACCCTCTGCACTTACAATGTCCCTCATTCTAGATTTCTGTCCCTCATTTGTAGTTGTATTTCATCTGTGAATTTATAAGCTTATACTTTTTATACTTTTTTTTAATTGTCAAAACTCTTTTTTCCATTTTAGGCTGTCCAAAGTAAAAATGAGGGATAAAAGGCAGAGAGAATCTTACTGGAAATGTTCTTAGTGAAAGGCTTTTTTTGTGCAGCAATTAATTTATACTGTTAACAAGATAAAAATTGTGCAAAGAAGAAACATGAAATACAAATGAAACATAGATTAACTGCATTATTAAAATTATCTCATAAAAATTTTGCTCAGGCTACTGGAAAACACTGCATCTTACTACACTGATTTTTTTTTTCCACTGGTGGTAATGCTCATTGCCAGAGCTCCTAATCTTCCTACTGAGCTAAATGCTCACAGACATGATGGACTAGATTTGGATTAGACTGAACCTGAGTCTGATTTCTGTTATGTTGGTAGTATGTGTGATGCCCATGATATCAGCATACAAAAATCATCATTTGAAATCCTATAACTAATTGAAAGCATATGTCCTTTTAAACTTCAGTATCCCAAAACCTATTCCTCTATCTGGAGGCAGGTAGTTTGAACCAACACAAGTAACTCACAGAGGTGTTTCATTTTTTTTCTGGCAGTAAGTACATGGAAATGTGTATGAGAACAAGGAACTGCTCTCACAATGTGCTTGGGAAGTTACTTCCAGGGGCAGCTTAAAGAAAAATCATCTCCAGTTGTCTAATGAACTTTCCTTGGGGCTGAAGCAAACTCTTGGGTCCTATTCCATTGCTGACTTACTTTGCAACTTTGGACACATTAAACTTCCCTGCACTTCAGTTTCCCCATTTATAGCAGGGAGATCATTCTTACTTAAAGAAGAAGGGAGATCTGAAGTTTAACTGTTAAGGGCCAGATCCTGCCACCTTTCCTCTAGTTGAAATAGCACCTTAGCATGTGACTCATCCCATTGATTTTAATGGGGTTACCTGCAGAGAAAGGCAGCACTCAGCAAGAGTCTGGGTATTGACACCTGGCCCTTAATTGTGCAAACCACTTTGAAATCCTGAAAAGAAAAACTTTTCTATCAGCGCAGAGAGAAGTTCTTCTTTAGTGTGTAAGTTATAGATGCACTATACTACTTGGGTACCTGCTGCCAAGTTATAAACTACAGTACTTGGCTTCCTGCTGCCTAGCTTGTGATACTGTTAGTTAAAATATTTCATTCTTTCTGGTCCCAACTTCAGTGAATGTCATTTTCTGTTTAAGGATTCTTACAGACAGAAGAGAATATGAAGGGGGTGGGGATTTAAAAGGGGGCCTATCTGAGTGTTTCTGACTGCTTTTGATTTCCCCATTGTTAGCACTGGAGAGCACAGGAGCAGCTTAGGAGACTTCAGTAAAGACATGCAAAGTATGAGAAAGTATTGATGTTAGAAAAGAGAAGGCTGTTGATAGAGCTTTAACATCCTCGTGGGATCTTATTTGGAGGAACTAGCGGCATAGCTGCATCAATAGTTATACCAGTGCTATACCAGTTATACCAGTGCTACCCCATAATAGCACTCTATTTTATGAAAGACATGGGGAAAACATGACGGAAAAAAAATAGTGGATTGCTTTGGGTTTTGTTTCCCTTGGGGTCATATGGCTTTTTGCAGTATGTGGAGTTAGGGAACCACTGCTTTTCTTTGCTGTATCAGCCCACAAAGTAATACAAGTGCCCCTTGTCCCATGGAATAGTACATTATGGTACACTATGTATTATATTTATATGCTGCCCTTCCCAACTAAGGCTCAGGGCAGCTTACAGTAAGAACAAAATAGCTGTGCCGCTACCCAGTGCATGGCATCCACAGGTGGCAGATAGAGGAATGAATGATTTCCAGGGAAGGCTAGCTGCAAAATATACAGGGGTAACTCTGATGAATAAGCAGTCATGGACCAAGCAGTGGCAGCGCCACCAGGATGTGGTGGGGACAGCAGTTGGCACTATTTTACCTCCTGAAAAGCCACACACATCATCTGACGATGCTGTGACAAGTTGAGTACTGACCACCACTGTAATCAGCCTGTCCAGGCCCTAGTCATGGGTCTGCAAGTCCTCAATGGTGGAGCAGGAAGAAGAAGATGTAAGACTCTCAACAGCTGTGAAGGCAGATGAAGGCTGCAGCAGAATGAGATCTCCAATTGTATTGGCCTGCTCGCCATTGGATCGAGGTCCAGTTCTGTCAAGAACTGTGTGGAAAATGATGTGCAGCAGCCTCTGCATCATAAAAGAAATTGTACGTGGGCATCTTCCATGAAAATGGCTTTAGCGCACTTTTTTGGACCCATAGATAAGACAATCAACCTCAATTGCGAGGGATTGCCAATGATGATGATGATAAACAAGTAGAATATTAAAATAAAGTATAAAACAAAAACTTCCAAATACTATCCTAGCCTAGCCTTGTTTGCCGAATTTCTGCCCAAATAGGAAAGTTACCAAAGTGTTCACAAAATGTCCAGACTTTGGTTCTGATAGGCCTCAAGGGGGAGGAAGTGCCAAAGCTGAGGAGCAACCACTGAGAACAACCTTCCATGTCTTTGCCAAGCAAACTTGATGACACTTGCAGGAAGTTTCTTTCAACTGACCTTTTACATGGAAAATCCAGCCGGATTGTGTCATCCTCACTCCTGCTGAGCAGCATCTTACCCTAGGGTGGCACTGTCTAACTGGCAGCCTGTGCGAGGTTTAAGTTGCAGCTCCTAGTCTTCTGCCCAGCCTTGACTTGCCCCATTGAACAGCGGGTAGTCTCTGAGCTCCCTCTTCCTCCTCAGGGCTCCTGACTCCTTCTCATCCCTCTCACCTTGTGCCTTCCCCTCCTCATCTCCCATGGGGCATCACACAGGGTGAGGTTGGGTGGGGTGCACTCTCTAATGCGTGGTATGGTGGTGAGGGGAGCATCCAAGCAGGATGCATGCTGCAGCAGGGTGGTGGGCACAAAGTGCAATGGTGTGCAGACATAGGACATGCAGCCTCAGGGGCCCACAGGACACAGGACCCCCCCCGGTGCAGGCCAGGGAGCAGGCAGTCCCTATCTACTTAGAAGTTGGACAGCTGTGATCTAGAAGGTGCCCTGTTAAAACCAATGGGATTAATTGCAAAGGTAAAATACTCCTTGGCATGAGAAAGGTCAGCAGAATCTGGTCCTGAATATTTTTATTATTATTTCTATGCTAAATACCTTCTGCATACTGATGTTGCACTAGATCACGGGTGGTGCATGAAATGAAAAACATTGCTCTATGCTTGGGTTTCGCTCTCTGCTTGCTGCCTGCTTTCAGGGTATGTAAAAAAACCTCCATCGGTCAGGTCAGAGGCACGCTGGAATGACTGCTATTCCCATACGTCTCGAACTCCAAAAAGACAGGTTTTGTTGTGGTTACTTCCTGCTTCTCTCTTTCTGCAGCCCCCTCAGCCAGCTGGGTGGCTGAGCCATTGAAAAAGAGAACCTGTTTCCTTTCATGTGTTATTGATTCATGAACAAAACAATAACTTTTCTCCTCACGGATGAGGAAGTTTGTACATAAATATTTTCACTTGCTGTTTTATTTTTCTGAACAGGTTTGGCCCAACATCTCAACCACTCACCACAGTTCATTCCTTCTCTTCACTCTTACATATGGTCTTGCTTTCCTCCATACCCTGCTCAACAATTACAATTGCATCTCTTTAGAGGCTGGTGTCAGGACTAGGGTAAGTGAGGCGCATGCCTGCAGCCTAATTAACTGGATGAACTAGCCAGGGCCAGCTGAGCCCTAGGCTGCAGGAGCAAGACTAAGTGAAGCTTCTGCCCTGCAGCCACAGTAACTGAGTCTAAGCAGCATCAGCTGAGCCCTAGCCCCTTCCCGCTGATTGGTTTCAGGTCTGCTCTTAGGGAATGCCTTTAGTCCCTAAGACTTGCTGCATGGTACTGGTGTCTAGTCCTTGTGTACCTCTTCTCCTGATAATGCCTCTGACTCCCTCATTCCCGGTTAACCCTCTGGCTTGGCGTTTGGATTTTGGTTTGACCTCGGCTTGCTTCCTGACCTCTAATGCCTGGTTAGTCCTATCACTCGGTTTCAGACTGGGCTTTGGCCCCTGCTCCTCGGTTTGGAACTAGGGTTGCTCCCAGCCCACGGGTCAGCCCTTCAACTCTGCTGGGGCCCAGTCCTGGCTCCACGCACTAGACTCGACACCCTTGAAACTGTGACAGCTGGAAGCAAAAAAGGCTGTTGATCGTGCTGCGCTGAGGACCTGCAGCTCTTTACTAGAGTAGGTCTGAGATGTCCTGATAGACCCTATTTGTCGGGCAGCGCCCATCAAGAGTCCCATTTGATTTGGACTGAGTTATGATGTCCTCTAAGACTGTATTGATGTCATTGAATCTTCCGACAGATGCCAGGTGGTTTCCCCAAGGAAACCTGCTTGGCTTGTTGCCAGTTCACCTATCTGGCAGGCTGCCTCAGAGCCGGGAGTTTAGGAGCCCTGGCAGTTGGATCTACAGGGGTTTTTTTAAGATAGCAGCAGCAGCAGCAGCAGGCAGGACACTTTTTTTTCCCCATCTTTTTTGAGCCAAGACCTTGTGATCTGTTCTTCAGACTAACCCACTTCATACCAGGAATAAAGCTGGGACCAGGTTCAGGACTGGGGGAGCACAGAAGAGAGTGAAGGTCACCCACCTTTCCTCCAGAGCCTGGAGTGGGACCTCCAATCCCTGAATCCCCCCGTTCTTCTGCTGCCAACCAAGACTGGTGATAGTCGCCCACAGCTGTGCATCTCGTTGTTATCTAGAGTGGGTACACTAGAGGATGACCTCCTATTTAGGAAATCACTCCAAAAACTAGAATAAAAAGCTTGATGGTTGCAAAAATCAAGAAGTCAGAGGTTATGAACTATCAGAATTAAGGTTTCCTGTGTCTCTTTAATTGAGCCCCCTCATGCATATGATTTATACGATGATGTTAAGATTGTATTATGGTGTTTTTCTTCCACAGGTCACTTTTTCTTTTAATGCATGGTGTGTTATCATGGGTCATCATCTGCAAGGTTGGAACCTGTAAACTGACCGCCTGGACCTCTGCCACATGAGCCAACAGGAACTGTTAGCAATAGTAAGTGGTAGTTCTCTGTGGGCCAACTCTAGATAATAATACTGCACAGTCTTTCCCTCCCCCTTCTCCCAGACTTTACCCAGCCTGTCCCAGTTTCCTCTACAATTCCCATGTTTTGTTCACAGCTCCATGTCCCATCCCTATGTTCTTGCCCCCCCAAGTCAATTGTCTCCTATCCCAGTTGCATTGCCCAAGCGTGCTCAGTTTTTATCTTCCCAGTTCTAATAGAAACATAACCTTGCCCTGTTTGTCCTCCCATGACTCTCCCATTTTCCTTGCCCCACCAACCCTGAGTCCCTCACTAGTGCCAATCTCCTTGCTTAAATCCGAGTCCCATTTTCTCTCCCCTGAGCCCCAACCTCACCGCTCTCCTCTTTCCAATCTAGTCACTTCCCTGAGTCATGTTGCCTTTGCATTCAAATCCAATCACTTCCTCCCTCACGCTGCCTGGGTGCTAATAGGGCAGGTATCACTGCAATACCACAAGAGACCTGCTCCCTGCTCACGACTCTGGGTTCCCAGAACAGCTAGAAGCAGAATTTTTATAAAAAGTCCTTCTGAGCCCTCATGGCCCTGGGTGGTAGTTGCTCAGCTGTTCTGTGAGGCTGTCGCATGCACAGTCTGATTTCATGCTTGGAGCCTGAGCATGTTCATTGAGAATAACATCTCTGAAGATCCCAGCTGTTGAACTCCATCAAGTCGCTACTGAGCATTTGTGAACTGGCTAAACAATTTGGTCTGAAATTTTCCCAGAAATGTAGCCTGAGGCAGCCACCTGGGGTGGAAAATGCCAGCCTGAATTATTCAAATTTAGCAAAGTTAAACCAACTGAAAATAGGATGGTATAATAGGCAACTTATACCAATGGATGGTGCAGTAACACCACTTGCATGATACACAGCAGTCCATTGAACCCACTGGGGGAGTGGTAAGGAAATGATTTTAAATCCCCATTAACATTGCCAAAATATAATACAATATGCAGCTTCCAATGAGGCAAAGATGTGGTCTTGTGCTAAACGGCAAGGCACTGCCCTAAACTCCATTTGTGACTTTGTCTTAAGTTATGTTACCTCTTTCCGCCCCAGTTCCTGTCTGCATAATGGGGATAGGAATCCTTCCTTCCTCCCAATGTTTATCTGTTTTGCCTAATTAAGTGCAAAGTCTTTTATAGCACATATGTTTGTCTCTAATCTGTTGGGCCTGATTTAGTGCGGGTCCACTAAGTTCTACTGGAATGCAAATAATCTGTTCAATGGGTCTATTTGTGCAATAATCTAGCGAGTGCAATGGGTTTGTATTTTTAGTAAAGCCAGGAGAGTGCCAGCATGTTACATAAAACATAGGGGCAGGGGTCACTGCCATGGGCCTCCAATTCTTGAATAGATTGACTGTCTTCTGCATAGAAAGCAAGAGGGACAGGGAGGTAGATGCCTCCAACCCTAACCATGGAAAGAAAACAGTGGTTTCAAGTTGCCAAACTCAGCCAATCTCCGAGGATCCCTGCAAATATCCTAAGATTTTTGTCGGATGTGAGAGCCTCCAAGAAAAATGGACTGTGTACTCTGTGTTGGCTTACAGGTTCCCTATGACTTTCCCTGCACTCCCAGGAGGTATATTCCCACAGAAGCTGTGCACATGCTCCTGAGACCTTCTGTTCCCCAGGGGAGGACACTGCCTGCATGACAACGTGATAAAATACCGTGTGTTAATTTGTCTGTACAGAAATAATGAAGGACAAGGTGACAGGCACGCTACACTGACTTCAGGAAAAGAGCTAACGATGTCTTGTAAACAACATTATTAAGCAAAACAATATTTCGCCTTCTTCAAATTAGAAAGGATTTTTGTTTCTCTCCCAGGAAAAAAATCTGTTTATCTGAAATGGATCAGTAGTGACCTCCAGTGGCCACAAACCCTTACTGGGTGGTTCTGATATTTTCCATGTTTTTTGACTCAGATACAATGAGCCAGATGTATTAGTTGCTTAGGAAGTTTAATCACAATGGTTCTTTATGCTAATGCATTTACAAAGATTTTAACTCTCCTTTTGGAGTGAAAGCAAAGGACTAGGCAGAATCATACAGTAAAAAAATACCTGAATCATTCTGCGGATCACCTCTCCAGCAGCTGCCTTTCTGTGGACCCCAGACCTGGCACCTTAAAATATGTCCTTTATTTTTGCATGACATTTGAGAGATCTTGTTTAGATACAATACTCTAAAACTTTCTATTTTAAAGGGACATTAAAGCAAAAGCAGTTTGAAAGGAAAGTTAGATTTCCTACCTAAGACTGTATCTTATAGTGTGCAAAGTACTGTGAGCTCCTTAGATGGACTCTGCCTACCTGTTTAGCTTCTTATACTGCACCTGACATTTGAACAGAGATGCTATCTGTACTATTATTGTTATAAATTATGTGAGGAGTGGTATATTGCTCAGGGTTTGAATCTGTAGAGAGCAGACAATAGGTCTACTATTAAAATGTATGTTTTTCAAGAGAAAAGTGCACCAAACATACATTTTTTTTCCAAGTACAAACTTCAAGGAAAAGTTTTGTGGCCTGTTTACACAATACTGGGATAGGACAGAGTCGAAAAATCCAATCCAGCTATGGATTTTGAACCCATAACATTTGAATTGCTTGGACTCTGGTCAACCTATTTGTTACAACAGTGAGAGTGATATAACATCACACAGCAGGGGGGGAGGGTTGGTTTGGGGGTTTGTTTGTTTTTAGTGTATATACTTGTGCAAGGGCAGATATGGAGGGGATGCAGTGGCGTGTATTGCACCACTGGAGCCTCCGGGGACCTTTTTAAGGTTCCTGAAGCAGGTGAAAATCCTTTCTCCCTTCCCTTTCCTGCTCAGGCTGGGGCTCAGCTGGGGGATGCAGAGAATGGCAGCTAGGATGGATGGAGGTTCTCCTGCCATGCACCTGCCTGAGGCCTGGATGGGGTAAGAGCCGCTCTGTTGCTGCTGTCCCTTCCCCAGCTGAGTCCAGTCTGGCTAGTTCTGGAGCCTTCTTGCCCCCAAACAGTGGAGAAAACAGCAGCAGGAGGCAGGGGAGTCTGGTGCGGGGAGGGAGAAGGGGCTGGAGAAGAGGAGGAGAAGGGGATTGCCTCTGAGCAAGAAGAGGAAGGTGGGGTGGAGACTTTCATATGCTTTAAAGACTTTTTCCCTAGAGGTTCCTGCAGCGAGGTCAGACCATGCTGCTGCAGGGGAAGAGGCTGGGGGAGGAGAATGCAGCTACCCCTACAGTCTGGGTTGATGCTGCTGCACCTCCCTTTGGGAAATCCTGGATCCACCCCTGTATTTGGGAATCCATTATAAAGGGCTCCTATAGACGTGCAGTGGGGCTGCTCCAATGTGCAGTAAATCCAGCAAATTAATCGAGTCTGCTGGAGCTCAGAAACTAATGAGCTCCAGCAGCCTCTGCCATCATGTGTATCAGTGCCCCCTGTCCCCCCACACTGAAAAATGGCAATGGGGGGCTTTAAATTAAAACTCACTTGATGAGTTTTAGTTCAAAGTGCCGTGCCGCCATTTTTCGGTGCAGGGTCACTGTTACATGTGATACTTTGGCACTTTTAATTAGCACAGCTCACTAATTAAAGTGCTCCCCCCACAACCTCCCAGAGCACATCTATAAATGCCCAAAATGTGCAAAGTAGTCCTGTCTGGATCTAGCAATGCTAGTAAGACCATGCTTAAATTTCATCATAAAAATCTGTTGAAAATTAAGCAAAGATATAAGTACTTTTTTGGACTGCTTGATTCTTGACAGGATCCAGGATCCTGAATTTTGGTTCTTCACATGGCATATTCACTCCAACAGGTTCCAGCTAAATACATGCATGAAGAAACACTCTGCATGTTTAAAGTGAGTCAGCTGAGTGTGATAATTTGGGAGGCCTGCAGAGAGCGCCTTTTCCCTCTCCAAGTTAGAGATGTCTGGACTGATAAATATTTTTCTATGGCATATAAGAAAATAAAGAAGCATTAAACATTCACAAATACTCTTTATTTACTCGGCACAAAAGAGGTTAACTTTTACATCTCTCTAAGAGGCAAAAGGTCATTTCTACTAAAATTTTGGCTCTGGACCTCTATAAGTGAAACTATAATAAAATACCATTTCTCATTCTTTCCCTCCGTTTAGGAAGTTGAATTTCCAGTCCCTTCTGTAATCCTCCTTTCATGTGGGGAATTCTGATCCCAGTTTACAGTACTCGTTCAACTCCATCTCAGCAGTGATCTTGCAAGGGTTATTACACTAACATTTGTTCAAACAATGCTTGGACAAGGCTGTCACATATAGGTACGTAAGCTTTGGACATTTGATAGAAATTTTCCAAAAGTTTGAGGCTGATGGGATGTGGAGTTTTGTTTCAGGACCACCTTTAATTTATACATAGAAAAGTATACAAGTAAAGACCCCTTTTACTGGCTAATGGTTTTGTTTTTGGTGGTTGTGAAGTTTGTGGAGCTCCTATATCACAAATGAAAAATGCTTTTTGGAAGCACCTAAATCAGCTCTTTGAGGTACTGCTGGTATTTTATATAATATGGCAGCCTAATAGAAGACCTTCCATTTCATAGATGTTAGGGCTGGAAGGGACCTATTACAACATCGAGTCCAACCCCCTGCTCTGGGCAGGAAGGAGCGGTTGGGTCAAGTAACCCCAGGCAGGTGCTTGTCTAATCTCCTTTTAAACACCTCCAAGGTAGGGGAAAGCAGCACCTCCCTTGGAAGTCCATTCCATATTTTGGCAACCCTCACCCTAAATATTTTTTTCCTGATGTCCAATCTAAATCTGCTCTCCTTCAGTTTATGGCCTCTGTTTCTAGTAACCCCAAGGGACATCCTGCTAAACAGAGTATCCCCTATTCCCTGCTGACCCCCACATTGTCTGCTTAGCAGCAACTAGTGTAATCTTGCAAGGGCTATTAACATTTCCAGTATGTGCTAGCTTAGTTCTGTGATTTCAAGGGTGACT